CTTTTCTCCTCCCGCTTTCTTGGCGGAGGTGGTGGCTAATCGGATGCCTCAACGAGCCTTTCCTGGTCAACTACTGGACCAAGTTCTAAGTTCTAAGTCCAGTATCCTTGGGTTGGGGATTATTTTTATGATTGGGCCTTATCTGTCTAGACTGAGAGTCCACCAATACTGGCCCATGCCCAACAACCTTCACGTCTGCTTGCTGCTCTCACATGGCCCAACAACCAATACTAGCCTTTAAAAACTCAAACATCTCATCATCAAGATAGTCACTACTGTGTTTTTTAGAGATATGTTCTAATTTAATTCAAGTCATAGTGGTTGGCTATTGAGATCGAGAAAATAGTTGGTACAAGTCTGAATACTTGTAGCACCAAAAAAAAAACATTAGTGATCTAATTTGGTGCGTCAATCTAATTGGTTGTGGGGATCTTCAACCAACTTTAGGAACATCCACCCACAAATTATAAAAATGTGGCAAAAAAAATTCTCCATTGCTAAATTTGAATACAAAAAATTTATGAAAACTCCAAATTAATTGATGGTCAACTGCATGAAATTTACTTTGTTTCGTTTCTGATGTTGTTCACGTTGTGACTACCATTAGACTCGGTCAAACTAAACCACATATCCTCCCAACTTCCATAACAAAATAGCCAACCGTTTATTCTAATAGCTAATTGTCCTAATGTCCCCATAAATCCCCGCCTTCTCCGCTACTGTCCTTCCCCTTCAACCCTATTTATACACCACCATCCCTCCACCAGATTACTCATTCTTTGGTTTCGCAGTGTTTCTTTGAAGAAGTACTGCAATCTCTCAGAATCAATATATAATCACTCTCTCACTTTCTCCAGACAAAAATGGCACGCCAATTGGTTGTCCTTGCTCTCATCTTTGTCGCCCTTGTTGGGTTGGTTTCTGCCGAGGCACCTACCACTTCCCCCGCAGCATCGCCTAAAACTTCTCCTACACCACCATCATCATCATCACCCGCTTCTACCCCAACTGCTAGCGACGCAGCAGCTACCCCAACAGCATCAAGCAGCACTCCAGAGGCATCCACCACTGCCCCAACTTCATCAGAGACCGCCCCCACTACCTCTCCTAGTGCCACTTCTCCTTCTACCTCGGACTCGGCTACCCCAGCCTCCTCCCCCGACGGGGAACCCTCATCTCCACCAGCCCCCGCCAGTGAATCCACCGCACCAACCGCTGATAGCACTGTATCTGAAGGACCAGCAGCAGCAAGTGCACCTACTCCTGACGCTTCTGAGACAAGCGGCGCAACCACTTTGAAGGTTTATTCCGCTGTTTGCGCTGCCACAGTGGCCGGCTTCTTCTTCTTCTAAGTTGTGAAAAAAGTTTAGATGTTCAAATTTAAGTGATTCTTTCGGTTGTGTTGTGTGTATGCATTTGAGATGTCCTTTTATTCTGTAACATTAGAAAAAATGAAGTCCCTTTAAGAGGAAGCCATTGTTGGTGACCTCTTTTAATATAACCATGATCATTTGGTAAGTGTATGTAATTTTTGGGGTCACTTCAACATGTTGAGAATTCTTTGTTTTTCATCTCACAATTTGTGCAGTGCAAATATTACGATGCATGACCAAAATTAATTGCAAAGATAGACTCATATAGCCGACCCTAAATAATTGAAATAGAAAATTTGGTTTGGTTGATTGGTAATTTGTGCAGCGCAAGAAAATCAAATTTGACTGAATGTTACACTATTACCCAACCTTTCCGAAATTATTTGGTCAAATTTTTTTTTACATCCACAAAAATAAAATTAACTCTCATTGAATTTTATGGTGTAATTAATGAATGTTATACTATTGCCCCACCTTTCGCTCGAATTTGTTATGGTGTTTGCTTATTTGTTCAAAACGTTGATATGAAAATCCTGGGTTATTTTTTTCTAAGCACATAGTTCTGAATTGTCAAAAAAAAAAAAAAAACACAAGTGCTTCTTTGTCATGGCTAACAAATTGAGAACTTGGTGAATATTGTAGTTCTAGTTTTGTGCTTGGCTTATAGTAATTTTTTTTTAATGTTGTGCTAGGCTTAATGTCTTTTGGTGAGATGCATTGATATAACTAAAATTTTTCACTAGATATTTGCTTATTCATGCATGTGAATAAGATAGCCTATCATACATTATTAATAATCTTGAACTCATGCCTTGAATGTTGAATGCATGATGTCATTCAACAGAAAAATAGTCATTTAATTGGTGAGTTTTATTTAACAAATGCTTTCAGGTACGGGCTTTTTTATTTATCAAGGTTTATGCTCTGACGATGCACAAATTAGTTTACATACCATTAGTCAAGTTGTAATATAAAATGCAGTAAGTAGAAGGAGAGAGAAGACATGATTTATAGTGGTTCAGTCAATATGACCTATGTCCACCTTGAATAACTAGGTTCGTCGGAATTTTATTATCTCCAGTGTGGAGGGAGAGCACATGATTTCAAGCTTTGAGACGGGAGGAGAGAATTATTCTCAAATGAGTCTAATGCCCCCCAAGTGTCAGATGAGCTTACAATTTATAGTGGTTTGACCTAGTAATTGTATGACTATTCTGACGGTCATTATAGCTTAGAACCGTTTGATAGTAATTAGATAGTTGATCCGGTGGAGGCGATCTATCATCTTCTCAACGGGCGAGGTGTGACGGTTGGTGTGCTCTCCAAAGGACTTGGTCAAGGATGAGAGAGGTTGATTCTTTCTAGGCTGCGAGGGTGAGGCTCCTGGATACTCCTTGGTGGCGTAGAGGAGGCTTTTGGATGACTCTTACTCTAAGGTGGTAGAGGAGACTCTTGGATGACTCTCTTGGATGACCTTTACTCCAAGATGGTAGATGAGGCTCTTGGATGACCATACATGCTCCCCTGTTGATGTAGTTTCTTGGTCTTGATAAGGTTATCCGGGTGTAGACTTTTTTGAGTTTAACTAGCTAGATCTCTTGGAATTGGGCCTTTAGCTCGGACTAAGCTTATAACATGGGTTGGGCCTGGCCCATCATTTGCCCCCCAATGTCTTGCGTCCAACAGAACTTGGAAAGGAGGGCATTTAAGTTGAATTTGAATTTTTAGCTGACTAGCATAACTGAAAAAATTTCGAGAGGCTAAAACATCCGTTTATAAGCCTTTTTTGGACTTTTTTTTAAAAGCTCATTACCAAAGGTAATGAGTTTTGCTCAGCTCGTCGAAAGCTTCGATTTGGTATATAATAAACTCCATTTTAAGTTACAAACTAAAAGTTACAATCAAAATAGCAAGCAGGGGTCCAAGGGCGTGTTTTTGGGCGAATAGCCAGCTTTTGGGCAAGCAGGCCACCTCCTTACAAGTCACCTCCTGGTGAGCATACAACCTCCTATGAATTTTTTTTTTTTTTTTTAAAATTCAGGAGGCCAAAATACCTCTTTCTGGTTGTTTTTTGGACTTTTTTTTTGAAAATCTCATTACCAATAGAAATGAGTTTTGCTTAGCTCATTGAGAGCTTCGATTTAGTATATAATATGTCCCGTTTTGAGTTACAGAACAAAATTTACGGTCAAAATAACGAGCAGACACGCTGAGCGCGATTTTGGGCGAGCAGGCACTGCTCTAGGCAACCATGCAGCTGGGCACGCTGTTTTGGGCGACCATGAGGTCTTGAGTGAGCTGGGGAATTGCCTAGGCGCCACTCCAGGTAGTTTTGAGGAGCAGCCTGCTTGCATAGGAGGGGTGGTCTGGCATGGAGATGGGCAGGCAGGTAGGCGCCGAAAAGGGCCTAGGCGAGCAGGCGGCATCGTACATTGTTACAATCCGCGCAGTGGGTGAGGGGGCTACTCGAGTCTTCATGCATGCTAGCCTGCACGTTGGGCATGATGATCTGGTCCATCAGACGCTTAAGGGCGCTGATCCTAATGAGTAGGGAGGTGGAAAGAAGGCTGGTCTTGGCGTGAAGGCACCAAGAAGCACCATTTTGGGCGAGTACAAATGGTTGGGCACCTGCAGGACTACTTCTCTTGTACGAGCAGAGGGGGCCAGACACCTCTTTAAGTACTGAGCTGCCCATTTGGGAGAGCAGAAGGGGTCAGACACCTTTCTAGGAAATTTTAGGTGCCACTTTTGGTGATGATTTGAGGAGTTCAGGTAGTCAAGGAGCTTTGGATGCCCCTGTAGGGAGTTCAGTTCTCGCCCATGCAGGCGGGGTTGCCCAAGAATTTTTTGGCAAGCCTGGTTCTAGAGCCCAAGGGCAGAGTACGCCAGACACTTTCAGCGGTGATGGTCCAACTCCTTTCAGTGCACCTTCTCAAAATCAAATTCTTCCATGATATTCTAAGGATTGTTTCTGCTTATCACATCCCCCAACGGTTCTATGTCACCGAGCTGAGATGGGTGAACCTACTTATGATGACAAAAATAATGTTATTTCAAATATTAAAATATTTAATATAATTACCTGAAGAGAGAGGCAGGCTGCTTGCGCGAGAGCAAGACAAAGTTTGAGGATTGCTCGTGAGAGAGCTACATCTTTTGAAACTGAGTTTTTGGCGACCTATGAGAGAGTTTTTAAACTTGAGGTATAGGCTACTTGCTTGAGAGCATAGCAGATGCCAAACTTTTTTTTTGGCGACTCATGAGAGAGCCGGGAGATAGACTGCTTGTTTGAGAACAGTGCAGAGGTCAAGCTTTTTTAGTGACCCGCGAGAGAGTCGTTAAACTGGAGATAGGTTGCCTGTTTGAGAACAGTGCAGAGGTAGGCAAGCTTTTTGGCGACCCTCGAGAGAGCCGCTAAGCTGGAGATAAACTACCTATTTAAGTACAGTGTAGAGGTAGGCCAAGCTTTTTGGCGACCCTCGAGAGAGCCGCTAAGCTGGAGATAGACTACCTGTTTAAGAACAGTGTAGAGGTAGGCCAAGCTTTTTAGCGACCCTCGAGAGAGCTGCTAAACTAGAGATAAACTACATGTTTAAGACCAGTGTAGAGGCAGGTCAAACTTTTGGCAATCAGTGAGATAATTCACCTTGCCCAGACCTGTTGATTTCCTCAACATTCATAAATTTTTAAACTTTTGTCAATAGTTCTGGCATGCTCTTTGGTAGGCGTTTCATCACGGAGAAGAGGAAGCTCGATGACCGAAGGCCTCCCAAGAAGGCAGTCATGCTGACGTTTTCATCGGGCTCTTCGACCTGAAGGACCTTCTCATTAAAACGAGTGAGGTAGCTTCGCAGGCTCTCATCTCGATCCTGTTTTATGCTGAGCAGGTGGGTGGCAGGCTTTTGGTGACGACGTCCTCCAATAAAGTGCAACACAGGACCTGTTCAGCTCAGCAAATGAGCTGATGGAAGCAGGGGTGATCTTGGCGAACCACTATCGAGCGGATCCCTTCAAGGTGGTTGGGAACGCTCTGCACATGATTTCGTCAGGGACGTTGTGCAATTGCATCAAGGTCTTAAAAATTTTAAGGTAGTCCAATGGATCCTTCATACCATCAAAGGTTTCTACGGATGACATCTTGAATTTTTGAGGGAATGAGTAGTTCGCCACGTCAGGTTTAAAAGGTGTGTCGGTTCGACTTACAAGGTAGTCCACTATCTTGGGTTCTCGTGCCTTCATGGCGTTGAAGACATCACCCAATTGATTCTGTATCTCCTTAATTTTTTCGTCTCAATGATTAGGAGAAGGTCCCTTGAAATTACCATGAATATGACTCTCATGCTCTAACATTTGGTTTTCACCCTCTTCCTCTTAAAAAGAGGGTTTCCGTCATGAAAAGAGGGAGCTGGAAGAGGAGGTGGAAGTCCCTTGTGGGGAGCTCCCTTGTGCGGGGCGCCTGAGGGGGCTTCAAAAGGGGCGCTCAGATGAGGAGCACCCATGTGGGGAGCTCCTTGATGCCTAGGGCGTGGAGCTCCTCTGACTCGAGGTCCAGGCTGTGCTCCTCTTCCTAGATGAGGAGCGCCCATGTGGAGAACTCTTTGACGCCCAAGGAGCATTAGTTGTAGGATCTGTTGGTTCTGGGCCGCAAGTTGTTGTATGGTCTCGAGCATTTGCTGCTCATTTGGGGCAGGATTGGTTGGTTGAGGAGCAACCTCCTCCTCTCTTAGTGGTGGGTTATCTTCAAGCTGATTCATGGATATATTGGTGATCGATTTTGACTCAGCAAAGGAAAGTGGCTAGGTGAGAATTGTCGTTCCCATAGACGACGCCAAACTGATGATGCACAAATTAGTTTGCACACCACTAGTCAAGTTGTAATATAAAATGCAGTAAGTAGAAGGAGAGAGAAGACATGATTTATAGTGGTTCGGTCAATACAACCTACGTCCACTTTGAATGGTTAGGTTCGCCAGAATTTT